GAAGAATTGGATCTTTCAAAGCATTACAAAACATTACACTATTCATATTAATTAGGTGACAGATCATTCCAAGTTTGAAAGCTTGAAAATAATATTTTGATGTGAAATTTTGTTTGTCTAATTGAAGATTTTGCTTGGCCAAGTTTAAATGTACAAGGTTTTGCATGAAGTTATTAATATGCTAGAAGTTCTTCCTAAAAGTTTATGTCCTTAAAAAGAGTTAAGCAAGGCCCATGTTTTAGGAAAAACATGGTCAATTTTTTAAATTTAATATGCACTTCTTGCTTATTTACCAAGTTAAAATGGAAATATGCAATAATAGCAAACATGTATTTAACATTTTCTTGCTAAGAACTGTTCTATATGCTTTCTATATATTAACTAATTTAATCCTTCCTCAAACTGTCTAAGGGAGCCATTAAGTTTTTACCCTATTTTACAGATGAGGGAACTGAAACCCACAGAAGCTAGAGACTTGCCCATGTCTGCACAGTTAATAAGGGGTTGCTATGGATTTAATTGTGTCACCTCAAAATTCACACATTGGTGTCTTAACCCCCAGTACCTCAGAATGTGACTCTAAAATTCGTTCTTTGAAAAAATAAACAAAATTGACACACCTTCGGCTAGACTAACGAAAAGCAGAAAAGAAAAATCTCTAATTAGCTCCATCAGGAACAATAAAAGAGAAATTACAATGGATGCCACAGAATAACAAGATATAATTCATGAATACTACAAAAACCTCTATGTACACAAACTGGAAATGTGGAGGAAATGACAATTTCTTAGAAACACACAGCCTCCCTAGGCTCAACCAAGAAGAAATAGAATTCCTGAACAGACCAATATCAAGTACTAAAATTGAAACAGCAATAAAAAACCTTCCTAAAAAGAAAAATCCTGGACCAGATGGTTTCACACCTGAATTTTACCACACCTACAAAGAAAAACTGGTGCCTATCCTGCAGAAATTATTCCACAACATTGAGAAGGATGGACTCCTCCCCAACACATTTTATGAAGCAAACATAACCCTGATACCAAAACCAGAAAGTATGCAACAAAAAAGAAAACTATAGACCAATATCCCTTATGAATATAGATGCAAAATTCTCAACAAAATCCTAGCAATCGAATCCAGGTGCTTGTCAAGAAAATAATCCATCACAACCAAGTGGGCTTCATCCCAGGGATGCAGGGATGGTTCAACATACGGAAATCTATAAATGTAATTCACCATATAAACAGAAGCAAAAACAAAGACCACATGATCCTCTCAATAGATGCAGAAAAAGCATTCAACAAAATTCAACACCCTTTTATGATAAGAATGCTCGACAAAATAGGCATAGATGAGGCTTACCTAAAAATGGTACAAGCCATGTAAGACAAACCCACAGCCAATATCATACTGAATGGGGAAAATTGAAAGCATCTCCACTTAGAACTGGAACAAGACAAGGCTGCCCACTATCTCCACTTCTACTCAACATAATGCTGGAAGTCCTCACTACAGCAATCAGACAAGAGAGCGGAATCAAGGGCGTCCAAATGGGAGCAGAAGAGATCAAACTCTCACTCTTCGCTGATGACATGACATTATACCTAGAAAACCCCAAGGATTCAACCAAGAGACTCCTTGAATTGATAAATGAATTTGGTAAAGTTTCAGGATACAAAATCAATACACAGAAATCAGAGGCATTCATATACACCAACAACAGTACAAGAGAGAACCAAATCAAAGACTCAATTCCCTTCAAAATAGCAACAAAGAAAATAAAGTACCTTGGAATATATTTAACTAAGGAGGTAAAAGACCTCTACAGGGAAAACTATGAAACACTGAAGAAGGAAATAGCAGAGGATGTAAACAGATGGAAGAATATACCATGCTCATGGGTCAGGAGAATCAACATTGTTAAAATGTCTATACTACCCAAAGTGACCTACAGAGTCAATGCAATCCCTATCAAAATACCATCATCATTTTTCACAGATATAGAAAAAATAATTTTATGCTTCGCATGGAACCAGAGAAGACCCTGTATAGCAAAGTCAATCCTAGGCAATAAAAACAAAATAGGAGGTATCAATCTACCAGACTTCAAACTATACTACAAGGCTATAGTCATTAAAACAGCTTTTTACTGGCACAAGAACAGGGACATTGACCAGTGGAACAGAACCGAGAACCCAGATATAAAACCATCCTCATATAACCAACTAATCTTCGACAAAGCAGACAAAAACATACAGTGGGGAAAAGAATCCTTATTCAATAAATGGTGCTGGGAAAACTGGATAGCCACATGTAGAAGACTGAAAGAAGACCCACACCTTTCACCTCTCACAAAAATCAACTCACACTGGGTAACAGACCCAGCGTGAACTTGAGGTGTGAAACTATTAGAATCCTAGAGGAAAATGTTGGAAATACTCTTCTAGACATCGGCCTCGGCAAAGAATTTATGAAGAATACCACAAAGGCAATCACAGCAGCAGCAAAAATAAAAAAATGGGACCTGATCAAAATAAAAAGCTTCTGCACAGCCAATGAAACTGTCAAGAGAGCAAACAGACAACCCACAGAATGGGAGAAAATTTTCGCAAGCTACACATCCAATGAAGGGCTGATAACTAGAATCTATTTAGAACTCAGGAAAATCAGCCAGAAAAAAATCAAACAACCCCATCAAAAAATAGGCAAAGGACATGAAGAGAAATTTTTCAAAAGAAGACAGAATAATGGCCAACAAACATGAAAAAATGCTCAACATCTCGAGTCATCAGGGAAATGCAAATCAAAACCACAATGAAATATCACTTAACTCCAGTGAGAATGGCCTTTATCACAAAGTCCCCAAACAATAAACGTTTGTGTGTGGATGCGGAGAGATAGGAACATTCCTACACTGCTGGTGGGACTGCAAACTAGTTCAACCTCTATGGAAAGCAATATGGAGATACCTCAAAGCGATATAAGTAGATCTACCATTTGATCCAGCAATTCCACTACTGGGCATCTACCCAAAAGATCAAAAGTCACTTTATGAAAAAGACACCTGCACTCGAATGTTTATAGCAGCACAATTCACAATTGCAAAGTCGTGGAAACAACCCAAGTGCCCATCAATTCATGATGTGTGAATAAAATGTGGTATATGTATACCATGGAGTACTACTCAGTTTTAAGAAAAAATGGTGATATAGCACCTCTTGTATATTCCTGGATAGAGCCGGAAACGCATTGCTACTAAGTGAAGTATCTCAAGAATGGAAAAACAAGCACCACATGTACTCACCAGCAAATTGGTATTAACAGTTCAACATCTAAGTGGACATATAGGAATAACATTTATCGGGTGTCGGGCAGGTGGGAGGGGGAGGAGGGGATGGGTATATACAAACACGATGAGTAAGAGGTGCAAAGTTTGGGGGATGGACACACTTGAAGCTCTGACTCGAGGGGGGAGAGGGGCATGGGCAATATACGTAACCTTAACACTTGTATTCCCATAATACGCTAAAAAAAAAAAAAAAGAATGTGACTCTATATGGAAACACGGTTGTTGCAGGTATAATTAGTTAAATTAAGATGAGATCATACTGGAGAGTGATCCTAACCCAGTATGACTGGTGTTGTTATAAAAAGAAGAAATGTGGGTGAAGACATGAGCCCGGGAGAATGCCATGTGAAGAAGGCAGGGATTGGGTGGAGCTTCTACACTCCAAGGGACGTTAAGAGATTATCTCAAACCACCAGAAACTAGGAGAAAGGCAGGCAACAGATTCTCTCTCACATTCCTCAGAAGGAAGCAACTCTGGTGACACCTTCATCTTGGACTTGTGGACTCTAGAACTGCGAGGCAATACATTTTGTTGTTTAAGCCACTCAGGCCTTTTGTTACCCTCGTCCTAGCAAACTAATACAGGGGTTGAGAGAGAACCAAGACCGCTGGAGAGTTCCAAGATCACCTCATTCTCTGTGCCTCCCACAACCGAAGTAATTAAAATAAAAAGACGTCTCCCCCACTCCACCCCAATAAATGGCACAGGAGTAACCAGCTTTTATATCTAAGAAGACAAGCAAATCATTTGAATAGTCTTTTTCCTTATCTGCATCATGGTGCCCTGGAACCCCTGTTTCTTGACCACTATGTTAAAGGGGCTCTTTGAGAGGACTCACTGGCCAGACCCTTTTTCATAGACACATGAGACTAATTTCACTCAGTCCACCTGCTTGACTCCGAGCCCCTTACCAGGACATCAAAACTCAAATGTTTAATAAACAGATTTGGGGGCTGGGCGTGGTCTCTCATGTCTGTAGTCCTAGCACTCTGGAAAGCCTAGGCGGGAGGATGGCTCGAGGTCAGTAGTTCAAGACCAGCCTGAGCAAGAGTGAGACCCTGTCTCTACTAAAAATAGAAAGAAATTAGCTGGACAACTAAAAATATATAGAAAAAGTTAGCCAGGCATGGTAGTGCATGCCTGTAATCCCAGCTACTTAGGAGGCTGAGGCAGGAGGATTGCTTGGGCCCAGGAGTTTGAGGTTGCTGTGAGCTAGGCTGGCGCCACAGCACTCTAGCCTGGGCAACAGAGTGAGACTCTGTCTAAAAAAAAATAGATTTCTGAATAAAGCACCCATCATTCTGAGGTTAATATCGAGATTTGTAGTTTCCTTTGGGTTAAAATGAGAAAGATGTATCCCATGGGTGACAGTAGGGACAGGGGCCCTCCCAGTAGTCATATTAAGCTAGTACTAAGAGAAAAAAGAAAAGGCTGTCTAGGTGGCTAGGCGACCTGGCCGTGAGCCATGAACGAGCTGGACAACAGGAGCCTTTGGAGAGTTTGTTTTGGAACTGTGAGCGAGTCAGGAGCTCGACCACAGGCCCTGAAGTCAGGAAAGCCTTGGGGCAGAGGGGGAGGTGCTATGAGGGTGTCAATTCCAAGGCCAGTGCCACGTGAGGGTGGCCTGCACACGGAGAGTGGGAGGTCAGGAGGTCAGGGCGAGGGACAGGCCACGCGCGGAGGGCGGACTAGAGACCTCCTTGGTTCGGGGCCAGGAAGATGAGTCTTAGCATTTTGAACTTCTGTGCATCTCCCTGTGGGCGCATTTCTTGGCCAGCACGACACACTTTGGCATAACAGCCACCTGCTGCGTTTTAAGGGATACCCCATACAACCGGGAAGGCAGACCTGGGTGGGGCGCGTGAGCGTCTCGGCCGCGGCTTCCCTCTTGCCGACGGTGGGAACAGCGACTGTTCGCGTCGGTCGCCGCCAGCCGCGGGTTCGCTGCGCGCGCACGTTCGCTCTAAGCGCTGGGTGGCGCGGGGTCCTGGGAACTCAGTCCGCGGAGCTGGCAGCGGCCGGGGCAGGCACTTTTGAGAGAAGGGCGGGGGAGAAGAGCAGGGAGGGAGGCAGGGCGGATCTACTTCCTGCGTCGCCCGCACACCGCCGAGCCTGCGGCGGGTGTTGGTCGCCCCGCGCCGCGCCACGATGTCGGGCCTCTCAGCCAGGAGCCTGGCGAAGGGTGAGTCCTGCCCGCCGTGGGGAGGAGGGCGACCCACAGCAGCGTGTCCGAGTGCGGCTGCTCCAGGAGCCGAGCCGCCCGGGAGGGCCCCACGGGCGGAGGACTGGCCGGGCTGCGGGGGACGCGGGGGCGGCGGGAGGCTGGCGTCCCGACCTCTCTCGAGGCCCTGATCGCCTTCGGTTCTCCCCGCAGGAAGCGCGCCTCCGGGGCCGGTCCCGGAGGGCCTGATCCGCGTCTACAGCATGAGGTTCTGCCCGTTTGCGAAAAGGACGCTTCTAGTCCTCAAGGCCAAGGGAATCCGGTGAGGACCTAAGCAGCGGGACGCCCCCGGAGCCGGCCGGGAGCCTGCTACTGCGGGTTTTGGGGTCGGAGTTTCAGATACGGCTCCCAGAGCTTCCTTTACAGCAAGGGAAAGTATTCTCAGCCGTTTGCGGGGACGTAGAAAGTTATGGACCCTCTCCCCAGGGAAAAAAAGTGCGGCAGACTCCATCGGTCTAGATACTTATTTAAACAGCAATTTAATGGATCAGAAAAGCTGAGGCGTCAGTAAAGTTAGTGATTTGCCAGAGTAATGACTAACAGCGGCTCTTTTAGCTTATGTAGGTTCCAGATTCCTAGTCCAGTGTCTTTGCTTTCGCCCATCTGCGATTCTTGTCTGATTCTTGTCCGCCTTATCCTATACTGTTTGCTGCTATTCTGAGTAGATGGTCCCTCCCCGAGTAGTTAATTTACCCAAGTACAGAGTTCAAACTTTGACCCTTCTCGTGCTGAGTATACTGTACATATTCCTGCAGATTGGGTTGTTAGTTGAGTCATACAGGGAAGTGTTTGTGCCTAAAAATTCATTCTTTTGCAAAGCCTCAGTTTCTAAACCAGCATAGTTTTTATGTCTTCTACTGAACACATACCCAGCTTTGACAATCATGTGGACCTGGCTCCTTTCTTTTATTTCTTCTATAATCTCTCAGGCAAAATACAAAATAGGCCTACTAACAATCTGGATGTTGCTTGGACTTCACCTGTTTTCTTCCTTTTTGGTTACTTTGTATGATTTACCTATGCAAGATTTTTTAAAACATTACCAGTATATGGAGATTGAAACCAAAAGTTTATTTTGTAGGTGGACTTTTAGGATTCCTTAATATCTTTGTAAAAAGCAAGGAACTTTTTATTCAAATTAACAAAATGAATTGAATTTTATCATGTTGGTTCTCATACAGGAGGTACTGACACAATTCAGTTAGTTGCTTCATATAATTTACAGTTAAGATACTTTTTAGCCAAATATGGAATATCATATTGACAATTTAAAAGCATTTCCACGTATTTATTCGTTCATTCCACAAATACTTACCGAGTCCCTATCTGAAACTATTTTTATTTTTTTCAGAGCATTTATATTTAAAATTTTGCTCATTTATGTGTCTGTTTATTTATATGATAAAGACACATAAGAATCCTAGCTTTCATGAAGATTACATTGTAGGAAGGTGACTTAAATGAATGTGTAAATATGTGAGCAAAGTAATTTCAGATACATATCATCAGATCAATGAAGAAAGTGAAACAAGCTGATCATGTAATAGAGAAAGGCTGTTCAGCAAGTTTGGAGCTGTGGTCTGGGAGGGCCTCTCTGAGCATGTGTTTGACCTGGGAAGACCTGGGAGAAGATAGGCAGAGAAGAAAGAGGAACAGCAAGTGCAAAGATGCTAAGGTGCAAACACATTTAGCAAATTCAGGGAATATAAAAAAGGTCAAGGTGTAGAAGAAAACATGGGGGAAAGCTTCAATGACATTGGTCTTTCACAATAATTTCATGGATATGACGCCAAAGCACAGACAACAGAAGCAAAAATAAACATGTGGGACTACACCAAATGAAAAAGCTTATGCACAGCAAAGGAAATGATGAACAGAGTAAAAAGGCAACCTATGGAATGAGAGAAAATATTTGCAAACCATATATCTGGTAAGGGGTTAATCTCTAAAATATATAAGGAACTTCCACAACTCAATAACAAAAAACTAATAACTTGATTTAAAAATGGGCTAAGCACTTGAAAAGACATTTCTCCAAAGAAGACATACAAATGGCCAAAAGGTATGTGAAAAAATGCTTATTGTCACTAATCATCAAGAAAATGCAAATCTAAACCACAATGAGGTATCATCTCACACCTGTCAAGATGACTATAATTTTAAAAAAAGACATGAAGTGGCCGGGCGCGGTGGCTCACGCCTGTAATCCTAGCTCTCTGGGAGGCCGAGGCGGGCGGATCGTTTGAGTTCAGGAGTTCAAAACCATCCTGAGCAAGAGCGAGACCCCGTCTCTACTATAAATATAGAAAGAAATTAATTGGCCAACTAATATATATACAAAAAAATTAGCCGGGCATGGTGGCACATGCCTGTAGTCCCAGCTACTCGGGAGGCTGAGGCAGGAGGATCGCTTGAGCCCAGGACAGCTTCCTCCTTTTTTCTTTCGTCTTCTTCGTCTTGCCCCTCTGTCCTCATCTCCACGTATTCGTGAGCCTCCCTGCGTTCATGGATGCTGGGCGACAACATACTGAGAAAACAATACCAATTCATTCCTTCTTGGCCTTAAGGACTGGTGGGGGCCTGGGGGGTAGACCTTCATTCCCATATGCTTTCGATTGCACTAGACCGCCTGGTGTTAGGCGTGCTTGTGTTGGGACCTCCGCTAATGAAGGGATTCTCTGCTTGGCCCTTTAGTCGGGCTCCTGCGCTTCTCTAGGCCTCTGCGCTTCTTGTCATCCGGTTTTGCTAAGAACTCTGCTAAGTCAGTTGGGAAGACTCTCCTTCAAATTTAATATCTGACTCCTCCATTTCTGATAAGGTTCCTCATCTTCCCCAGGTTACCATCTTCAGCAATAATCCTATTTGGTCAATTTAGCGCATCCTCTTCTCCGATGTTTTCTGTTAGTAATTTGCCATCCCCTGTGCTCCTCTTGCTCCATGGCTGTATTCCTTTCCCTGCTGTATTTGGGTGGTCCAATCTCTCTCCACATTTAAAGCCATTGTCATGGTCTCTTACTATCATGATGGTCCTACGTAAAGTCTACTTTAAGATGCTTTGAAAGTATGTTTGGCAGGAGTGCTGGCTCACACCTGTAATGCTAGCACTCTGGGAGCTGGGCAGGCAGTCACTTTGAGCATTGTTTGAAAGACATAGATAGAAAATTTCCAGTACTAACTACATGGTAAAGTCAATACTGTTTTAGGGGTGTGAGAGTGTGTGCATTTGTTCATGGTCATTACAACTGAACTTTTTTCCTTAAAAAAGTAGTACTTTAGGGGACTGTGAAGGAGACATAATGTATTTCATCAAGTCCAAGACAAACTGATCAGGGGGAATGATTACCAATTAAATTACAACAGATCTAGATTTTTTGTTGATGCTATTGAAAGGCTCTTTTAACTCACACATATTTTTATCATGGAGATTTCCTAAGCTTATTTAGAAATAGATTCATCCTAGTTAGTTGTTGTAAGTATAAAAGAAAATATAAGTGCCATAAATTAAGGTATTCTTCAACTTTTCACTTTTAGAATCCAACTCTTTTAAATAATGTTCAAGTCAGAGTCCTAAGAATGATTTCCTCACCCCTCCACCCCTGACACTGCCTGTGTGCCAACAAGAACATTTAATATAATAATGCAGTAAGAAGCCTCTTATTATCTCTGGATTTCTTCCAAGCCATTGACATGTACCCTGCAAGTTCAAATGAACGATAACATCTATGTCAGACTACCACCAGCCTACAGTGATTTTAGATACACCCAATTTTCCAGAGGTGTTAAAATGTGAAGAAATGTGAATCTTAGAATCAATGAGATTTGGTAGCAGTTAAGAGATGAGACCAGGTGTTAGATCAGAATTGAAAACCAGCTCCCCCATTCAAAAGTGTGTTGATCTGAAAAAGTCGCTTTAACTCTGACCTCCAGTTTCCTTATCCTGAGATGTAATATTTAACGTTTTTAATTCTTAGGGTTGTTTTGAGGATTAAGATTTTTCAGGTAGAACATTTAGCAGATACCTGACAGGAAGCACCATCAACAGATACTATTATCTTCTACATGCTTTTTGGGGGAGAGGATGTCAACATTTTATTTAACAATATCTGCGTTTTTTGTGGGTTTTTTTGAGACAGTGTCTCACTCTGTCACCTGGGCTAGAGTCCGTGGCATCAGCCTAGCACCTCAAACTCCTAGGATCAAGTGATCCTTCTGCCTCAGCTCCCAAGTAGCTGGGGCTACAGGCGTGCACCACCATGCCTGGCTAATTTTTTCTATTTTTGTACGATTGGTCTCACTCTTGCTCAGGCTGGTCTCCAACTCTCGAGGTCAAGCGATTCTTCTGCTCGGCTCCAGAGTGCAGGATTACAGGTGTGAGCCATTGCACTGGCCTTTTACACATATCTTGAACATGTTGCTCATCATAAATATATAGATCTACTTCATCTTTGATAGTTGTCTTTTAAACAGTATGGTTTTTTTTCTGTTGTTTTAAAAATTGGTTCTTAAATTTAATTTTTTTCCAATATACATATAGTAAGCATCAAATTGATAAAAGTATTTGTATAAAATTGTATAAAAAGGTTTTTGAACAGTCTTCTTCATTCTCCCACCTAAACTTTCTTATTCAATGCGTCTCTCCAGAAGCTACCTTCCAGCTGAAGAAAGTGACAATATTCTTGAAGCACCACTATGCCATGCACTCCCTTTTCCATTCCCTGCCTTTCTCTAGAGCAATCATTGTCCTGATTTTTGTGGTTATTGTTCCTTGCTTTTCAAATTCACCACATGTGCATGTGCTGTAACCAATATATCCATTCATTTTGCATGTTTAAGCTAATGTATGCAGAGTCATACACATATATTATTGTACCTGCTTTTATGGATCAATCTTATGTTTTTGAGTGCATTTAGGTTAAGCCATAGACTATTAGTTTCATTGTTTGGTAGAGTCCACTATATATATACCACATTTATCCATTCTACTCTCAAAGCACCTTTATATACCTCAATTATTTTCTGTTCAAGATCCTTTCTTTAATGGACCATTTTCTCTGTGTAGCACCTTATTGTAAGGAATATATATATATTTATATATATATATATATATATGTTTTTTCTTGCTCACG